ATCTCCCCAATAAAGTTATCACAAGCTCCACAGGCTTCTATTGCTATATTTCCCATTTCTTTAGGTTAATTATGACTACAGAACACCTTAATATCCCACCTAATCATTTTGATCCGAAAGATCCAACTAGGAGAACAAATCTTGGGTTTATAGCCTTAATCCTTCGACTGCCACTATTTCCTTTTTTTTTTTTTTTTTGGAAGAACTTATTAATATTTGCTGTTTGAGTAACAGACAGTTTGAGAAACACTGTTGTCGGTGTTCACTGCTGATAACCCTGGGCCTCATACCAACGTTCCCCTTGCTCACCCTCAGTGGTGGCCATGCGTGTGCTCTATGGAAGAGCAACTAGTGAATCTTGGTGTTAGGACCAGAGGGCTCTCTGAGGATTTGGTAATATATGCCAGCCTCACCATTTTGCAGCTGAGGATTGAGGTGGATGGGCACTGATTTTTCCCTTCCAGTTGCTTTAGGGCAAATAATGAATCCATGTCATTGGCTGTACTCCTACAGGAGGGACCATGGAAGCAGCTCAGGTAAACAAACCCTTCAGAGAGCGTGCAGGAAAGCTGCCACTTAGCCGTAGTCAAGGTTGACTTCTTTGGCAAATTAGTTTTGTGTAATTCCTTGTGGTTCTTTTATTCTGATTCCAAGTGGCTGTTCAGAAACAAGGATGGGAAGAGGGCTTTATGCTTACTGTTTTATAGTAATCCATCTGTGCTGAGGCAACCAATTAAAATGCAAGGAGTTAATAAAATAATTCTTATAGCTCATAGAATGTGACTTGGTTCTCACCTAAGATTGAGACTTAATTCTGCCTTAATTCTGCCCATTAGCATATCAGAGAGTGCCCTCCCAAATGGGATGATAGCTATAAACATGGAGTCCAGAATTGTAACACGTAAGGAATTATGACTAGAAGCCTGCTTACTGTGTTTCCAGGGTTCCTGCAAGGGGCCACATAGTGTTCTCTTAACATTTTAGACCCCCCTTTAAATATTTTTGTTGTTGTTGGGTGCCGTTGAGTTGGTTCCGACCCATAACCACCCTATGCGCAGTGGAACAAAAGGCTGCCTGGTCCTGTACCATCCTCACCATGACTCCTGTGCTCAAGCCCTGGGGCAGCCCCCGTGCCAATCCACCTCCTTGAGGGCCTTCCTCTTTTGCTGCTCCCCTCGTTACCAAGCATGATGCCCTACTCCAGGGACTGCTTTCTCCTGATCGCATGTCCAGAGTATGTGAGGTGAAGTCTCGCTATCCTTGCCTCTAAGAAGCACTCTGGCCGTACTTCTTCCAAGACAGATTTGTTTGTTCTTTTGGCAGTACACGGTACTTTTCAATATTCCTCACCAGCACCACATTTCAAACTCATAACTTCTTCAGTTGTCCTTATTAAAAAATTAGGTCTTAATTTTTCATTTCCTTGGACTTCTCTGTGTTACGTGTTCAGGAAATTTAAGATATCTTGGAGAATGGCTAATCTCATTATGCCTAGGTGTTTTTCTTTTTCTAAAAGGAGTTTAAGCCACTGATTCTCCAATAAGCAGTCTGTGTAACAGGGAAGTTTATCCACTCCTAAGGGCTATTTCTATTATGATTCGTTTCTATCTTCCTCCTCTGTAAGGAAGATAGCATCATTTTTAACCCAGCCAAAACTTTTGTTTTCTCTACTCAGGGTGCACAGTGCTTTTCTCTCCCTTTATAATTGGTGTATATGATACTGATTGCTCTTTTAAACATCGTGTACTGTGTACTAGATAATTACATAGCAAGGAAATGAAAAGGGCATCCTCATGAGTGATACTATTAACAAGGTTCCAGACCTGATTGCTTATGTAATTTTTCCCATTTACCATTCAGCCATAATAGCTGCAGTCAGGGCCATTTTCAGGAGGGATGCTCCTAATGGAGGAAATTTGTTTCCTGTCAGCAGCGCAGTAATGTGTCTATCAGCAATGTGCTGAATCACCAGGCTTGCCTGGCATGTTGTTTTTATAGCTCTGGGATGAGCATTGTCAGGAAAGAAGTCATAAGTCCCTCTGATGTGTTGTCTCTTTCCTAAGAGAATGCCTTCACCCAGAAATATTATTGGCATTGTCTGTTCATGGCAATTAGAGAACTTTCAGGTTGCTGGTAGAACATTCTCGATGCTATTCCTTGCGCACTTTAGAACTCTCTGTCCGTTCTCATTGGGACAGATGGCAGTTGTTCCCTTCCCAAGTTCCCCGAGTGGTACTAATTTCCTCGGAATGAAATCTTCCCAAGAGCTGAGTACAACCTGCATCAGCCATTCATCTGTAATGGATGCAGAGAAGGGGCGTGGCAAATTGTTACATCTGCTCTGATTGTAAATGCACTCTGAGGTATGGCTGTAAGCTCAGTGCTGCTGATGTCCCACTTGTTAGCTTCTAAACTACCGTCGGCAAAGGGACACAATTCAATAACTAACATCGCACAGATGCTACCGTAGTATGAAAAGGAGGATATTAGGCCTCTCTGATTTTACTGATGAGGACATCAATTCTCAGAAAGCAGAAGTCAAGTAACTAGATGCAGAATTCAATCCAGGTATGAGTTACTCCAAGTTTATCTCGTTTCTGTTCTTTAATAGTGTGCTACTGTTATTACGGCGACTTAGTGCGGTTTGCAATAGGGGACCCCTCCTAGACTGGAATAACAAAACGTGTGACATGAAGGGTGGATACGAGAGGATCAGACCTTGGAGTCAAGTAGTCTAAAAGAACTGTGATATGGAACGCGGACTGAATGTTACCTGGTACGCAGGCACTATTCTAAGCACACTAAAGATGAGGAGGCTTCTAAAAGCCATTGGAAAATTCCTTAATTATTTTTTAATTTTCTTAATTTTTAAACATTCTATTATTGGTGTAGTGGTAACACGTGAGGCTGCTAACCACAAGGCCATCAGTTCGAAACCATCAGCCGCTCCTTGGGGAAAAGGTAGGGCTTTCTACACCCGCAAATCGTCACATCCCGGAAACTCACAGGGGCAGTTCCAGAGCGTTGGTATGAGTCAGCATCACCTTGATGGCAAGGAGGCTGTTTGAGTTTGGGTTATTATGGATGAGGCTATTATGGTTTGTTTTACCCTCAACACCTCATACACCTTTTGTTTCAGCTAGCTTTTTGTTCTTGTTGTTGTTCTTTTGGCTTAGAGAGGTGAATGAATTTGTGTAAGGTCACCCATTAAGTGAGCACTGAGATCTAAATATAAACTCAGAGCGTGTGATTATAGGCAGTGGCCAAAAGAACAACAACAAGAACAAAACGCTAGTTGGGAAAAGGAGGGATGCATTGTCCCTATGGGTTTCTGAGACTATAACTCTTCACAGGCATAGAAAACCTCACCTCTCTCCCTAGGAACTGCTAGTGGTTTTGAACTGCTGACCTCATGGTTAGCAGTCCAACTCACGGCCCATTACGCCACCAGTACAGACTTAATTAGGCATTTTGTACAGCACAGGAATCCTACTGCCATAGTTAAACAGTGGGTTTAGTTTCCTTGTCCAAGAATTTTGGTGAAATGCACTATTGGGCCTCAAATAGTGCACATTCTAAGGAAGTTTGTCAGCTTTGAGGTGAGAGTGATCTTCCCACTTTCAGAAGCAGCCCTGTCACCATCAGCTCCACCTCAGTATAAGCAATAGACTAAGCGGACATTCTGACAGTCATAGGGGAACATATTGCCTATTTCTCCCAAGTGATGCCACCTGCACTCCCTTTCTGCCCCTGGGCTCAGGTCGCAAAAGCAGCGTGCCCTCGTAGCTGCATCCCCTCTCAAGAGCAGTCTTCACCATGCTCTCTGCCCCTTCCCCAATTCTTATCATGTGCCACTAGTTAGTTGAGGAGGGGAAGTGTCTGTCTGTGGTGCCAGGGCTAAGTGGTGTTTCCTAGCAAGTCACCAGGGAAAATGGTTCATCCCGCGGGGTTGCTGGATTCTCTTTCTAAAGCAGTGGTTTGCCAACTCTAAGCACTTCTCAGAGTCGTCTCGGAAGCTAGTACTTGGGTTGCACCCTAAACCAGTTAGGTCTGTATGTTTGGAAGGGTCTCGGCGTCAGTAGTTCTATAATTCTCCAAGCAACTTCAAGGAGCAGCCAATGCTGTAAACTGTAGGGGGATTCGAGACCTTGTATTCCTCGTGTTTGGGTCTTAGCCATAGAAAATATCTCAGTCAGCATCTTATTACATAGCTAAAAATAAGATTGTCGTTTAATTTACTTTGTAGCAAAAGATTTGTTTTGCCTTTAAGAGAAGGAATTAGACTATCCTTAGACTTTTGTGATGGTAAAATTTCTAGTAAGGTGAAAAGCTTATTATTATTATTTGGCATATCCAAAGCTAAAGTTTAGTGTCCCACAGTAAATGAATTTCACCCTAGTAAGAGCAATGATAGGAAGCCCTGATGGTTTAGTGGTTACATGGTGGATTGCTAACCACAAGATCAGCAGTTTGAAATCACCAGCTACTCCGTGGGAGAAAGACAGGGCTCTCTACTCTGTAAAAGTTACAGTCTCAGAAACTCCCAGGGCCTGGCCCACAGGCTCGCTGTGAGTCGAAATTGACTCAATGGCTTCCGAGCTTGGTTTGGGTTTTGGAAGAGAACAGACTGAAGCAAGGGATGGACTAATTGACCCCAAAGAGACACCCATACACAACATATAACAGTAAGCCATCTCATTCTGTAAATTCATCTATTCCAGTTCTTAAGCCTAATGAGTTATAAGAACCCAACTATTTCCATTCCAAATGATTGGCTTCTTACAGATGTCAATTCATTGGCTCCCCCACCCCACCCCACCCCCGCCCCAGATGGTTATAATGACTTTTTTTTCTTTCCGTTTTATTGGACCGTACTTCACATCATATAATTCGATCGTTCATTCATGTTAAGAAGACTTGTACCATCATTACCACAATCAATTTCAGAACATATTCTTTTGTCTTCATCTACTTTCTTTTCCCCCCTCACCGTTCAAGAGATGGCTGCCCAGTGCGTCACGAAGGTGGAGCTCAATGTTGCCTGTGACAATCTTCTGGACAAAGATGTCGGGTCAAAGTCAGACCCCTTGTGTGTTCTTCTTCTGAATACCAGTGGCCAGCAGTGGTATGAGGTAAATAATCTGATAAGGTGCAGAATTTATTTTAAATGTCAGTAAAACCATCTCAAGTGTTAATCTAGGGGCACGTTTGCTCTCGATTGTGGAATTTTTCATATGTATGTAGATAACTTCCTTAGTTGTCATAGCTACATCTAATTGTGTTTGGAATGTGAAGACTAAATTCCAAGTGCACTTTGATGTGAAGACGAAGACACTTTTTGTTGTTTTGTTTTAAATGGGGGGATGTGTGTACAGGTTGACCGCACCGAAAAGATCAAGAATTGCTTGAGTCCCAAGTTTTCCAAGACATTTATTATTGATTACTACTTCGAAGTGGTTCAGAAATTGAAATTTGGGATTTATGACATCGACAACAAAACTATTGAGCTGAGCGATGACGACTTCTTAGGAGAATTTGAATGTACCCTGGGACAAGTGAGTATCCGTAGCGGCCACACCGCTGCCTCATTTAAATGTTAACCAGGGGATGGGGGGTGGGGTGGGGGCGGGATTGATAGGTGTTCATTATTAATTTTTACAATTACAAAGCAGGTAATCCCTTCAGCGACCATGTTTACATATGCTCTGGCTGACCAAAGCAGTTAGACTTTGTCTTGCTGTCTTTAAAGACAGGGACCGGATCCTTATGGCTACGTCTATTATTTCTTTGTACGCTGGCTGTTTCATGAGACATTTCAGTAAATCATATTCTCTCACTGCTTCACCTGCTGTTTATAGAGCTCGGTATAATTTTGTTTTTATGTTCAAGGCATAAATGTTATCAAAGTAACTAACTCAGCTGTAGTATTTAATTAATCAGTATGGCGGGTCGGTCCTTCTCTATTCGGGATGTCACCCGGCACCCGTTACCTTCCTTAATCTCTTCAAAGGTAGGTATACCAAGTTAGCCTTTCTTCCCCTGATGAACCTTCTCGGACCCACTCGGACCCGAGACCGGTTTGGGTCCCTCCCCAGTGTTTCGCCTTCACCCTTTCCTGCATTTGCCACATCATCGAGCTGCACTGTGGTTGCTTTATTATCTCACTGCCCAGCATGGGACAAACTTGCGCAGGGCTTGGCAGGGCATTGTCTGTTGGCACACCATTTTGCTTTTCGCTCAGAGTCTGACTTTTAAGGAGAGATTATAACCATTTGTATATTAGGATTTAGGAAGACGTTGAGGGTTTTCGTTTTTTTGTTGTTGTTGTTTTTTAACTGGGTAATTGGTTATTTAATTTGCTTTTAATTTTTCAGGGTCGATTTTATTTGGAGAACATGATTTCTTTTTTCCCAGTGCCTCAAGAACAATATAGAATTGACTAGTTTTCCCAAATATGGCGAAGTGTTGTCAGAGACAAAATGAGAGAAGTCTTTATTTTGGGGAGGGAAAAGGTCACAGAATAACTGACCCACCTGTAATGATATTTGGTATTTTAGCTTTTTGACTTGTTGTGCGGTCGTGAGGGAAGACTTTTAAGCTCTTTGCATACCAGTTTGTCAACCCAGTTTTCATGGATTCGAACACTCTATCTGTTTGCAAGCTCCTAGGTCTCCCACATAAGCTCAATCGGAATGATACATTTTAGGTATTGAGTATTGAGCTGTCCATCTGTTGAAAAATAGGCCCATTTATTGAGTGTTCTCGCAGCAGTTTCAGTTCACTGATTTGAGGAGCAGATGAGAGTCTGGCCTTCTGTTTCCATTCTAAGGAGGAAGTTAAACTCTGAAGTGGTTGGTAAAGGAGCTAGTGGGTGAGGAGACTATCTGTCTGCCAGGTGAGCTCTTTGGAAATCTCTTCCAATGAGCTTTCCATGTGTACTTCCATTTTAAATGTTTTTCTAATCTGTACATCTTTAAGAAATGGACCGAATGTATCTGTTTTTCATGATTTTATGTGAACTTTATACTCTACCCCCTGCCCCCTTTTTTAAAAACTGAAGTTTGAAAACCTGTATCATGAAGTGAAATTGCTGTTTCACTTTCCAATTTTAACAGATTGTTTCCAGTAAGAAGCTAACTCGACCACTGGTGCTCAAAACTGGGAGACCTGCTGGAAAAGGGACCATTACGGTAAAGCAAGATACTTCTTCTT